TATCGATCGATCCAAGTCTCTCTCTCTCTTATCATCACCACCATCACCACACTCACCACCATCCCTACCATAACTCCCCCCCCCCCCAACAACAACAACCAATAATAATAATCCCATCTTTTCTCCCTCCTCCCTCCTCCCTACCTTCCTCCCTCCTTCCATTCCTTCTTCCTTCCCTCCCTCCCTCCCACCCATCCCCCCTCCTCCTCCCTCCCTCCCATCCTCCCATCCCTCCTTCGCCCTCCCTCCAACCTTCCCATCCTCCCTCCTACCCATCCCTCCCTCCTCCTCCCCCCCTCCTTCACCCTCCCCTCCCTCCCTCCCATCCTCCCTCCTCCCTCCTTCCCATCCCTCCCTCCCTCCTACCCCCCTCCCATCCTCCCTCCCATCCCTCCCTCCCTCCTACCCCCCTCCCATCCCCCCTCCCTCCCTCCCTCCTACCCCCCTCCCATCCCTCCCTCCCATCCCTCCCATCCCTCCCATCCCTCCCTCCCTTCCCTCCTTCCTTCCTTCTACAGAGAGTCATGCTAATGATAGGAGAAGAAGTAGCCGAACTCCTGCCTTTGGACGCGAGTTTCCTTCGTCAAGCAAACATCTACAAGAGAGGACACCTAACGACCCAATACACACACGTGGTGAAGCGACATCCTCTGCCTGCCATTGTGGATCTGGAGTGTCATAGTAAGTAGTAGGGTTTTTTTGTTTTTGTTTTTTTTGTGAGTGGATATATAAAAAAATAGTAAGTCATAGTAAGTAGTAGGATTTTTTTTTTGTGAGTGGATATATAAAAAATAGGGGAGAGAGGAATGGGGAGAGGAATGGGAAGAGGAAAATAGGAATAGGAGAGGAGGAAGAGAGGAAATAAGACGAAGGAAGGACGAAGAGGAAAATAGGAGGAGAGAGGAGGTAGAGAGGATATAGGAGAGGAAGATAGGGGTAGGAAGGAGGAAGAGAGAGAATAGAGAGGAGGAAGAGAGGAAATAGGAGAGGAAGAGAGAGAATAGAGAGGAGGAAGAGAGGAAATAGGAGAGGAAGATAGGGGTAGGACGAAGGAAGAGAGAGAAAGGAAGAGGAAAATAGGAGTAGAGAGGAGGTAGAGAGGAAATAGAAGAGGAAAATAGGGGTACGAAGGAGGAAGAGAGAAAATAGAAGAGGAAAATAGGAGTAGAGAGGAGGTAAAGAGGAAATAGGAGAGGAAGATAGGGGTAGGAAGGAGGAAGAGAGAGAATAGAAGAGGAAAATAGGAGTAGAAAGGAGGAAGAGAGAAAGTAGAAGAGGAAAAATGGAGTAGAAAGGAGGAAGTGTGTGTGTGTGTGAACATTTATATTTACAAATTCATTATTACTATTATCATTATTTAGTTCGGAAATTCTTGATTTGTTGCTATTTGTTGTAGGATTTCTTTTTCGACATTTTTTTCAGATTGTAAAGCTTTAGAAAAAAAAAATCCCTGGGCAAGGTTACGGTCTGTTCTCTCTCTCTCTATCTCTCTCTCTCTCTCTCTCTCTCTCTCTCTCTCTCTCTCTCTCTCTCTCTCTCTCTCTCTCTCTCTCTCTCTCTCTTATTTCATCTCTCGGTTGTTTTTGTCCCTATTATTTTCCTTTTCCTTTTCGTTCTTGTTATCCGAAGTTTTATTATTATTCTATCATTTTGGTTGCATCCTTTCATGTTTCCTTGTGTGTGTGTGTGCGTGTGTGTGAGCGTGTGTGTGTGTACGAGTGTGTGTGAGCGTGCGTGTGTATACGAGTGTGTGCGAGCGTGCATGTGTACGCGTGTATGTCTACGCGTCTTTTTTGTAAATTATTTCTACAACATTGTACATTAATCACATGACAAACCTTTTCACAAGAACAAAAAAAAAAAGAAAAAAAATTGATATGCAAATCAACACAAGAAGACAAACCAAAGAAAGTAAATAATATTAAAAAAATACAGTTAAACTAAGACCCGCCGTTTTGCACTTCCAAGAAGATGGGTTAAACAGAAGCTATTTTATACGAACGTAGTAATAACTTGAAGATTTATAGTCGGTTGAACATTGGCCAGAAATTAAATAAATTGACAAGGACGATGAAGGAAGAGGGAATTCACTCAGATAATCCATAAAAAAGAGTAAATTTTCGAAGAACATTGCGATTCACATCTTGTTTGGAAAGTAGAACAAATTGATAAGTTAGAATTACTGAGAATTACTACAGTTCTTTGGCAAATTCCTTTTAGAAAAAAACAGCAACTCGTTTTAACAACTGCAGAGAGAGAGAGAGAGAGAGAGAGAGAGAGAGAGAGAGAGAGAGAGAGAGAGAGAGAGAGAGAGAGAGAGAGAGAGAGAGAGAGAGAGAGAGAGAGAGGGAGAGAGAGAGTGAGAGAGAGAGAGAGAGAGAGAGAGAGAGAGAGAGAGAGAGAGAGAGGGAGAGAGAGAGAGAGAGAGAGAGAGAGAGAGAGAGAGAGAGAGAGAGAGAGAGAGAGAGGGAGAGAGAGAGAGAGAGAGAGAGAGAGAGAGAGAGAGAGTGAGAGAGAGAGAGAGAGAGAGAGAGAGAGAGAGAAAGATCTACCTCTGTGGCAACATTTTCATTATTTTTTATTTCTTTTTTAAATCTAGTTCTTCATATTGTTTTTTGTGACATCCCTTCTATGATTTCATCTCCACCAAGTGTCCTTAGCAGGAATCTTCAGTACTCTTCAGTGAAGAGGAGAAAGAAACAAATGAATCTCTCTCTCTCTCTCTCTCTCTCTCTCTCTCTCTCTCTCTCTCTCTCTCTCTCTCTCTAAGAAGTAATCAAAATGACATATTAATTAATGTCACATGTCAAGAAAATAAAATTGTGTAAAGAAATAAAATAAAAAAAAATGAAAAAAAAGACTACCGGCATCTTTTTCTTCTAGTCTGTCACTCAACCAACTTTTTAAAAATCAACATTTGTCATTTTTTTCTCTCTTTCTCTCTCCTATCTTGATCTTAATTTCACGCCCTATAAAACACAGATGATGTCCACGACCGCTATCTTCCCCCTCCCCTCCCCCCTCCCCTCCCCCCTCTCAAGAAAAAAGTAGTCCATCTTTCGGAACAAAAAGTGAGAAAACTCGTTTGTAGGTTTGTGTTCCAGTTCGTAATTATCTTGAGTGTTGTAACGATGCGTGTTATCAATTCTTGGTAATTTTCGGACTGCGAGATATAGTTCTGGTTCTTGCTCATAGGGGAAAGTCCTGATATATTTTCGATACCATTAGTAGTAAAGACGAATTATTGTGATTATTAAAAAAAAATAAAATCGAGAATTATCGTACTATATACCTATAGGACACACACTGAGATTTTAAGAGCCATCTTTACCAAAAAAAAAAAAAAGCCTACTTTAGACACATTTATGAAAAAAAGAAAAAAGACGAAAAAAAAACCGCTTCACATACCTTTTCCAATCCCATCCAAAAAAAAAGAAAAGAAAAGAAAAACACTCAGACCCTAATCTCATAATCTAAACCTGTCTTTTAAAAGGGATCCGAAACTGTTAAACCCCGAACCTGCCCTAACTATTTCCGTGTTCTGCAGATCATGAGAATTGCGGTCGGTCGCCCCTTGTTCCGTTGCCAGTACGTAAGCCTGATATAAGCGAGGTGATGATCGACCCAACGGTAAGTACAGAGAGAGAGAGAAGTAATTTTTTTAAATACATTTTAGGGTAAATAGCTTGGTGTATGTGGGGAAGGAAAGGGAAGTGTCGTGGAAGGGGATGTATTTGTTTATAAGTTGGTAGTATATATACTTAGTATAGTTGCTTTATAGAAAAATTGTCGTGTAGGAATAGTGTTTTACAATTGCTTTCAGGAATAATGTTATGGAAAAAAAATGTTATGATTTCTACATATAAATTGTGATATTAAGGCGTTGAAATGTACTGCATATTTTAATGATAAACCAAATTAACTGTAATGGATAGAACAGTATTTTTCATGCACAACATACACACAGCCAAGTTTAACAACAACAAAAAAAATGATAAGGAACAAGCAACAATAACAACAAACAACATGGAAAAGCATCCTTACAAAATAACAACTTCGTGATCACCGACAAAAACATGACAGTAACTTTACCAATGTCACCACCAATTACAGCACCAACAACCACAACACCACCAAAACATAACCACAACACAACCACCAACAGCAAGTGCAACAACCAATAACAACAACCACAACCACACCATCAACACCACAACCGCCATCACCCCCAACACCATCACTAACATTACCACCAACCACAGCATCAACAACAACCACAACACCATCATCACCATCACGACCACAACCGCCACAACACCACCACCACCACCACAACACCACTATCAACACTATCATCATCACCAACCACAACACCATCACGACCACCATCACCACCACCAACCACAACACCACCACCACCATCACCACCAACAACCACACCATCACCATCAACAACCAGAACACCATCACCATCACGACCACCACCACCAACAACAACAACCAGAATACCATCACCACCACAACCACCAACCACAACACCACCACCACCAGCAACAACCACAACAACAACACCACCAACAACCAAAACACCATCACTATCACCTTCACCAACAACAACCACAACACCACCAACAATAACTACAACACCACCATCATCACCACCACCAACCACCAATCCCTGACTTACCTTACCCCCCTCTCTCTCTCCCTTAGATGGAGGACGCCAAGAGAACCGGCCCCCCCGCCCCCCTCAAGGTCGAGCTTGGGATGTTCCTCGACCAGGCGCTCCTCGATGTCTTCTCCCAGTACCTTGCGAGTGACGAGGAGCTGATAGATCTCGTCCTCGGGCTCGTGAATAATGTAGGTTTGGAGTAGGAGGTGTGGAGTGGGAGGTGTCGAGTGGGAGGTGTGGAGTGTGAATTGTGAGGTGTAAAGTGTGAAGTGTAAAGTAGAAGTGTGGAGTGTGAGGTGTAAAGTGTGAAGTGTAAAGTGTGAGGTGTGGAGTGTAAAGTGTGAAGTGTAAAGTTTGAAGTGTAAAGTGTGAAGTCTGTAGTGTGAATTGTAAAGTGTGAAGTGGTGGTGGTGGTTTTGAATGTGTGTAGATTTTATGCGTTTGTGGGGGGGGGGGTGTATGTTGGGGGGAGGTTGTGTCTGGGTGTGGGTGCATGTGTTGCTGTTGGGGTATGTAAATGTGCATGTGTGAGTGTGTGAGTGCGCGCGCGTGTGTGTGTGTGTGAGTGTATGTGTGAGTGTGTGTGTGAGTGTGTGTGTGTTGTGTGTGTGTGTGTGGCGTGTGCGTGTAGATGTGTGTGTGTGCGTGTGCGTGTAGATGTGTGTGTGTGAATGTGTGTGTATTTGCATGAGTGCATTTATGTATATATCTAGGACATCTAAAAATACATTAATTCATATATATATATATATAAATATATATATATATATTATATATATGTATAGATATACTTAGATAGATAGTATATATACTTATATAGATATATATATATATATCTGTGTACATGTAATTGCTCACATAGATGTACGAATACAACCATGTACGTCTCCATGCACCCATCTCTGCGTAACATCTATGAGAGCAAGTGCACGTACAGCAGGGAGGCACCAGAAAACCGTTGACCTGGCAGCATTGCGAGGTCAAAGGGGCAATATGTCGCATGGCAAACTCTCTACTTCACGACCGGGCTGACGTTTTTTTTTTTTTTTTTTTTTTTTTTTTTTCGAAATGAGATGCTTCCCGTACTACTGCTTAATTTTCTGAGGTTCCTTATTTGTACTCGGGGGGGGGGGGGTAATGGGTGATATTTTTTTTGTTTTAAGCTGTTTCCTTTTTTCTTTTTTCTTTTTTCTTTTTGTTTATTGGTGTTTGGTTTGGTGATTTATAATAGTTTTTTGTTTTGTTTTGTGTGTGTGTGTGACATACATACACGCATACACACATATATGTATAGCCGCACATATTTGTATACAAACATGCACACACACATACACAACACACACACACACACCACACACACACACCACACACACTCACACACCACCACACACACACACACACCACACACACACACACCCAAATAACACCGACATACAACAAAAATAAAATCTCCCAAAAACCCACTTAGAACCGCCTAAAATCCTCCCAAAACCCACCTAGAACCCGCCTAAAATCCTCTCAAAACCCACTTAGAACCGCCTAAAATCCTCCCAAAACCACTTAGAACCCGCCTAAAATCCTCTCAAAACCCACTTAGAACCCGCCTAAAATCCTCTCAAAACCCACTTAGAACCGCCTAAAATCCTCCCAAAACCACTTAGAACCCGCCTAAAATCCTCCCAAAACCCACTTAGAACCGCCTAAAATCCTCCCAAAACCACTTAGAACCCGCCTAAAATCCTCTCAAAACCCACTTAGAACCGCCTAAAATCCTCTCAAAACCCACTTAGAACCCGCCTAAAATCCTCTCAAAACCCACTTAGAACCCGCCTAAAATCCTCTCAAAACCCACTTAGAACCCGCCTAAAATCCTCCCAAAACCACTTAGAACCCGCCTAAAATCCTCCCAAAACCACTTAGAACCCGCCTAAAATCTCCCAAAAACCCACTTAGAACCCGCCTAAAATCCTCTCAAAACCCACTTAGAACCCGCCTAAAATCCTCTCAAAACCCACTTAGAACCCGCCTAAAATCCTCTCAAAACCCACATAAAACCCGCCTAAAATCCTCTCAAAACCCACTTAGAACCGCCTAAAATCCTCTCAAAACCCACTTAGAACCCGCCTAAAATCCTCTCAAAACCCACTTAGAACCGCCTAAAATCCTCTCAAAACCCACTTAGAACCCGCCTAAAATCCTATCAAAACCCACATAAAACCCGCCTAAAATCCTCTCAAAACCCACATAAAACCCGCCTAAAATCCTATCAAAACCCACATAAAACCCGCCTAAAATCCTATCAAAACCCACATAAAACCCACTTAGAACCCGCCTAAAATCCTATCAAAACCCACATAAAACCCACTTAGAACCCGCCTAAAATCCTATCAAAACCCACATAAAACCCGCCTAAAATCCTATCAAAACCCACATAAAACCCGCCTAAAATCCTATCAAAACCCACATAAAACCCGCCTAAAATCCTCTCAAAACCCACATAAAACCCGCCTAAAATCCTCCCAAAACCCACATAAAACCCACTTAGAACCCGCCTAAAATCCTCCCAAAACCCACCTAGAACCCGCCTAAAATCCTCTCAAAACCCACCTAGAACCGCCTAAAATCCTCTCAAAACCCACATAAAACCCACTTAGAACCCGCCTAAAATCCTCTCAAAACCCACATAAAACCCGCCTAAAATCCTCCCAAAACCCACATAAAACCCACTTAGAACCGCCTAAAATCCTCTCAAAACCCACTTAGAACCGCCTAAAATCCTCTCAAAACCCACTTAGAACCCGCCTAAAATCCTCTCAAAACCCACTTAGAACCCGCCTAAAATCCTCTCAAAACCCACTTAGAACCGCCTAAAATCCTCTCAAAACCCACTTAGAACCGCCTAAAATCCTCTCAAAACCCACTTAGAACCCGCCTAAAATCCTCTCAAAACCCACTTAGAACCCGCCTAAAATCCTCTCAAAACCCACTTAGAACCCGCCTAAAATCCTCTCAAAACCCACTTAGAACCCGCCTAAAATCCTCTCAAAACCCACATAAAACCCACTTAGAACCCGCCTAAAATCATCTCAAAACCCACATAAAACCCACTTAGAACCCGCCTAAAATCCTCCCAAAACCCACTTAGAACCCGCCTAAAATCCTCTCAAAACCCACATAAAACCCACTTAGAACCCGCCTAAAATCCTCCCAAAACCCACATAAAACCCACTTAGAACCCGCCTAAAATCCTCTCAAAACCCACATAAAACCCACTTAGAACCCGCCTAAAATCCTCTCAAAACCCACATAAAACCCACTTAGAACCCGCCTAAAATCCTATCAAAACCCACATAAAACCCACTTAGAACCCGCCTAAAATCCTCCCAAAACCCACATAAAACCCACTTAGAACCCGCCTAAAATCCTCTCAAAACCCACATAAAACCCACTTAGAACCCGCCTAAAATCCTCCCAAAACCACTTAGAACCCGCCTAAAATCCTCCCAAAACCCACTTAGAACCCGCCTAAAATCCTCTCAAAACCCACTTAGAACCCGCCTAAAATCCTCCCAAAACCCACTTAGAACCCGCCTAAAATCCTCTCAAAACCCACTTAGAACCCGCCTAAAATCCTCTCAAAACCCACATAAAACCCACTTAGAACCGCCTAAAATCCTCCCAAAACCCACTTAAACCGATCTAAAACCTACTTAAAATACACATAAAACCCACTTAGAACCCGCCTAAAATCCTCCCAAAACCCACATAAAACCCACTTAGAACCGCCTAAAATCCTCTCAAAACCCACATAAAACCCACTTAGAACCCGCCTAAAATCCTCCCAAAACCCACATAAAACCCGCCTAAAATCCTCTCAAAACCCACATAAAACCCACTTAGAACCGCCTAAAATCCTCCCAAAACCACTTAGAACCCGCCTAAAATCATCTCAAAACCCACATAAAACCCACTTAGAACCCGCCTAAAATCCTCTCAAAACCCACTTAGAACCCGCCTAAAATCCTCCCAAAACCCACTTAGAACCCGCCTAAAATCCTCCCAAAACCACTTAGAACCCGCCTAAAATCCTCTCAAAACCCACATAAAACCCACTTAGAACCGCCTAAAATCCTCCCAAAACCCACATAAAACCCACTTAGAACCCGCCTAAAATCCTCTCAAAACCCACATAAAACCCACTTAAACCGACTTAAAACCTACATAAAACTTACCTAGAAGCCACATAAAACCCACTTGGAACCCGCCTAAAATCCTCTCAAAACCCACTTAGAACCGCCTAAAATCCTCTCAAAACCCACTTAGAACCGCCTAAAATCCTCCCAAACCCCACCTAGAACCCGTCCTAAATCCTCCCAAACCCACCTAGAAACCGCTAAAATCCTCCCAAAACCACTTGAACCCGCTAAAAGCCTCCAAAAACCCACATAGACCCGCCTAAAATCCTCCCAAAACCCACTTAGAACCGCCTAAAATCCTCTCAAAACCCACATAAAACCCGCCTAAAATCCTCCCAAAACCCACCTAGAACCCGCCTAAAATCCTCCCAAAACCCACTTAGAACCCGCCTAAAATCCTCCCAAAACCCACTTAGAACCCGCCTAAAATCCTCTCAAAACCCACTTAGAACCCTCCTAAAATCCTCTCAAAACCCAGTTAGAACCCGCCTAAAATCCTCCCAAAACCCACTTAGAACCCGCCTAAAATCCTCTCAAAACCCACATAAAACCCGCCTAAAATCCTCCCAAAACCCACTTAGAACCCGCCTAAAATCCTATCAAAACCCACATAAAACCCGCCTAAAATCCTCTCAAAACCCACATAAAACCCGCCTAAAATCCTCCCAAAACCCACAAAGCACCCACTTAACACCCGCCACTCACCTCCTCCCCCCCATTACAGGTGCAGGCCTTGTACCGCCACCCGTCGCTCGGTCGCCAAGTGGACCTCACCATCAGCCACCTGCGCCTCCTCTACACGCAGCCGGAGGACCTGCCTACCTACGACGGCGAGAGAATCAAACTCCTGAAGGCCTTCTGCGACTACAGCAGGAGGAACAACGACCCCGACGACGCGAATCCTGAGCATTGGGATATTGGGGTTTATCTGTCTGGGTAGGTTCGGGGGGGAGAGAGGGGAAGGGGGGTAGAGGGGAAGGGGGGGAGAGGGGAAGGGGGGGAGGAGGAGGAGGAGGGAAGGGGGAGGAGGGAAGGGGGGAAGAGGGTGGAGGAGGGAGGGAGGGGAAGAGGGGGAGAGGGGAAGGGGGGAAGAGGGGAAGAGGGGGGAGGAGGAAGAGGGATGGGGAGGATG